ACCCATAAATTCCGACACCATGAAAAAAGAGCTTCATTCTATTTCATGGCATTTTCATGGGATTTTTGTTTGTTAAAGTTTTTTCATGGGCCATGAAGCGTTGAATTTTAAGGGGTATTTTCATGTTTTTTTTCATGAGATTTTCATGGCATGTTCCCCATTAAAAACCAATGAAAATTCCCCATCAAAATCTCCTTGAAACCTGTGAAAAACATGTGAAATTACCATGAAAAAATTCACTGGATTTTCATGGGTTTTAATTTCATAGTGTATGGAAGCAAGGAGATGTTATGCGGTTTCTGATCTCCAGTTAGGGCAGTGAGAGTTCGTGTTATCTGCTAGGGAACTGGGTCTGAACGTGAATCTCATCTGGTATTGCATTCCTGGTTACTAGACCCCCAGCAAAGCACCCGAACCCAAACCTTTTACAATTCCTCCGTGGGTTTTACCTACATGAGTACTGACATTATTTACAAAAATATTTACAAGTTATTACAGGATGTGCAATGTTTAGTATGAATAGGTATGGAAGGGAGAAGGAGAGGGATATGATGCTCTTTCTTATTTGTCAAGATTTTAGCTGTTAAAAGAGGTTTTCATTCCTTCCCCTACTTTCTTGGCAATTTTGAGCAATTGGTTTTGTTCGTGCGTTCGGTTTGTTTAGAATTTTAGGGGTTTGCCTATGTTCATGAAAATGAGTGGGAAAGGGTCATCTGAACACATTACTGAGCTGTTTATTTGTTCGTTTGTTGGCGCGGTCATGCAAACAGTACAGATCGCGCCAGGAGATAACATTACTGAAAATAAGGTTTCTCATGAAAGTGTGCTATTATTCACTGAATGAAAGGTAGCATCAAAGAAGCATGTACCGCTACCCTTAAGAAGTATGAATCTTTTACACGTACTTTGTATGCATATTAGGTGTGTGCCATCAGTGTCGGGAAAGGCACGCTTGCCATCTGAAACAATTTCAGTCTTCACAGCAGCCAACTTCAGAGAATATTGCAGTTAAGAGCAACCCACCCCGTAAAAGGTTTCCTATTCCACCTGAGATGTTTAGCAGCCCTTCTGGTATGAACAATTCGTTAATTAGTGATGAAGATTACAAACAACCACTTACAACAGCGAGTGCAAAAACTGCCTACAACCAGTATGTGTACAAATTACATGAAGCGACTGGGATAAGTGAGCCATTTAGACATCTAGATTCTGTTCTGATGAAAGAGTGGAAAGACTTGCATCGTCGTACTAAACATTATTATGCGTCGTTCGCTAAACAAGGAGTTAGACCAGTGTTGGAATCAATTGCCCCTGGCCAAGGTGAAGAGCTTTGGAATTACTTGAAAAACAGTTCAATAACGGGTCTTGGCAACAGCGATAACGACTGTGATGAAGATGAAGAAATTTCCCCTAACACCTTCTCGGACAACACTTTACGAAATCTTATTGATGCCTATAACAATGCACAGTCTTCAAAATCGAGAAAAGAAATTTTGTCAATATGTGCTCAAAATTTTAAGAGAAAGCAATTGAAAGACCTAATTCCTGGTCTGACAGATTTTCGTATAAAGGAGGCTAGGAAGCATTGTAAAGAACATGGACCAGGCACTGCAGTGCCTACAGCTCCAGTTCACAGGTTCTTTCTCAGTGAAGACAAAGTTGACCACTTTTTAAGGTTCATAACAAGCGACATGATTTCACAAGACACAGCATACGGTATTTCCAAAATGAAACTCGAAAGTGGAGTGGAACTAGTGATTCCAAAGCCAATACGAAAATTGATCCCAGCTCGAATCATCGCACAGTACTTGACGATTTGTGACAAAGGTGGTTTTAAACTGGCCAGTACAAGAACCTTGTTCAGAATTCTTGAAGTCTGCCCAGCTTCGACAAGAAAATCTCTTCAAGGTCTGGACAACTACACGGCGGACGGATCAGAGCCATTCGAAAATTTAGACGAAATTATCAGCATGCTCTATGACGGAGGGATGCCTGATAGTAAGGCTGACCGGCTGCGTTCAATGGCCTTGTCCTGCAAACAGTACCTAAAGCAGGACTACAGCACCCATGTCGTGAACGATTCAATGAGTGACATTTCCTCTGCGTCTCCTGACCATTGTCGATTCTTTGCACTAAATGACCCCAAGGAAGAACAACTTATGCAGAGCTGTTTACATAGCCACTTAATCGGGTGTGATAGATGCCAGGAACTACGTGATCTATTTCTCTCTTTAGAGATTCCTGAGCGGTGCCCCATGGCTAGTGACGACATATGTGATCTTCGTTTCCTGCTGGATGACTGTAAAGACAAGATAGAACAATGGAAAGCTCACATTTTGAGAAGTGTGAATCAAGAAGAGGGAAAGAAGGAAGTCCTCGATAAGTTAGAACCTACTGAAGCCCTTTTGGTGGACGATTGGACGATGAAATTTTTGCCACCGCACTTCAGGGAAAAATCAGCCGAGTTTTATGGAAAGCATAGTATAAACTGACACGTCACAGCAGGGATAAGAAAAACGCCAGAATCCTCTTTACCAGTAGAAGTTTTCGTCCATGTCTTCGACAGCTGCGATCAGGACCAGATCGCAGTGGCTTCAATTACCCAGAACACACCGTCCACACTTAGAAAACTGACAGGAGTTTATTTTAGATCAGACAATGCCGGATGTTATCACGGAGGTTTTTTTTGTGACTAGCCTCCCCAGTATTGGTCATGAAACTGGGATCAGAGTCATTGGCTATGACTTCAGCAAAGCTCAACATGGCAAAGACATATGCGATCGAAAGACAGCAACAATGAAGCAACATGCACGGGGCCTTGTGGCAGTTACGAAGACCGACATTCTGACAGCGTGTGATCTAAAAAAGGCCCTGGAAAGTAATGGTGGAGTAAAGGGATGCCGAGTAAGCATTGTGGAAATGCCACAGAGATCCAGCCAAATTGACACAAACGTGAAAATAAAAGGAATTAGTCAGATTCACAACATTTGTTACGAAGAAGGTGACATACGCTTTTGGAAAGCATTTGACATTGGAAAAGGAAAACGCGTGGTACCAGACAATATGTCGTCAGCTGAAATTCCAAAGGTTAAGGTAGTACAGGCCTTTCCGGAAGCATGCCTTTCCAGCGGAACAATGGCAAGGAGTTCCAAACACACTGAAGAGGAAAAGGCCACACCTACAGATACTGAAAACGTTGAAAGTGATGCATTATTTGAGTGCCCTACTGACGGGTGCACTTGCTCTTTTGATTCTGAAACAGAGCTCCAGAGGCACCTGAATGTCAGAAATCACGTCCGTCGCTTACACAGAGTCTCAGTTTGACTACATAAGGCGTCACTATGCTGATGTGGTAAATGACGAACTATCAAAGCCACTTTTCGGGGCTAATTATCCAAGTGAGTCTGAGCAGAGTGGAAAGAGGGTTAGCAATATCACCATGGGATGGGCATTAAAAAAGCACAAGTCTACACGTTTTTCTACAGCTGGTAAAGCGTATCTGAATGACAAATTCCTTATTTGCGAGGAAATGGGAAATAAGGCATCGCCAACTCAAGTTGCTCGGGAAATGCACAGAGAATGAGATGATAAGGGTAATCGTCTACTTGTTGGAGGTGACTGTCTCAGTTCTCAACAGATTGCAGCATACTTTTCTCGTCTTGCAGCAACAAAAAAGAAACACGGTTCTTTAAACGCAGCTGCCAGTTAGGAGGAGGTAGAAGAATTTTTGGCTGAAGAACACCGAGTTGTTGTAAAGTCCTTCGCGGGAGCTACAACAAGTGATATGTCACATTATGTGAAACCAACACTGAACAAGAAGCCTGACCAGATCATTTTACATGCTGGTACCAACGACATTGGAAAACTATCCCCTAGCGAAATCGCCGATAATATCGTTAACCTAGCGAGGGAAATTGAAAGCTCCATGGATGCCCAAGTAATGATACCAGAGCTGGTCACAAGATCGGACCTCTCAGCTAGCGGCGATGTTGATGCTGTCAATAAAAGGCTTCGAAAATTCTGCAATCAGCGTCAGTGGCACTTCATACGCCACGATGACATTCACTCTACGGACCTAAATAGAGGAGGACTTCATCTTGGTGAGACAGGTATTGCCAAAATGTATAACAACTTCACGAATAAATTAGATGAATGTAATTGACCTAGTCGCCGTTCGTTTAATTCAGAGCGTAATCGCGACCTTGGAAATCTAATCGTTTCTCATGAACTTCTCCCGTCTAAACGAGGCTTTAAATTGGCCTTGCTAAATATTAATAGTCTATCTGCGCACATTGACGAACTAAGAATTTTGCTTTCCGACAGACCTATCGATATCTTAGCCATAAACGAATCTAAATTGGATGACACAATAAGCGATAATGAAATTCATATTTCTGGCTATGAATCTATTCGTAGCGATCGCTCTACCAACGGTAGGTCTGGAGGCGGTGTTTGTTTTTTTATTCGTTCTGAAATCAATTATTCTGTTCGCTCTGACCTAATATGTGAACACTTAGAAAGTCTGACTGTCGAAATCAAGAAACCCAGGTCAAGGCCTTTTGCCGTTATGACCTGGTATAGACCCCCTGATTCTTCTATTGATCTTTTTAAACCATTTGAAGAACTTATTGGAAAACTAGACTCTGAAAATATCGAATATTACGTCTTAGGAGATCTGAATTGTAATATGGCCGCACCTAAGTTTGACAACAGTACAAATATCTTATCTAATATTGCTGAAGTTTACGGCCTTGATCAGTTAATAACCGAATATACTAGAATTACCGACAAATCATCTACTCTAATTGATCTAATTTTTCACAAATACTCCAGATATGCCTTCCGTAAAGTTTCTATAGAATCGACAACGTATAAGCATACTACCCTGAGATATAGGAAATTTAAGAATTTTAACTCTGATCACTTTCGCAACGATATATGTCAACAGGATTGGAGTAACATCGAAAACTATTCTGATCCTAATTTAATGTGGGCTGCATGGAAACAACTATTCCTGGAATGCGTAAAGAAGCATGCCCCACTTCATGTAAAACGGGCTCGCGCCTGAAAGTCACCTTGGATCACACCTTACTTAAAGAAACGAATTTATGACAGAGATATTCTTAAATTGAAAGCATCGCGTTCTAAGGATGCTAATGACTGGCTACAATTTAAAAAATGTTGCAACCTAGTTAATAACGAAATTAAAAAAGCAAAAGAGCTCTATTACAAAAGGGCATTAGGTGAAAACGAAGGCAATTCGCGCCAGACCTGGAAGATCGTAAATGAAAACGTCAAGGAAAAAAACTAATAATTGTTGCATAAAAGAAATCAAAAGCAACGGTAACTCTATTTACGGCCCTCCTGAGCTGGCCGATGCCTTCAACGATCACTTTTCTTCTATTGGACCCAAGCTTGCTAGCCAGATTTATTCAAATAATGGTCCATCACACCTACATTACCTTGAGGGAACTGACAAACGTTTTGAGTTAAAAGGTACTGATCCTTCTAGAGTGTTCTTGCTTTTGTCTAAGGGTGCGTTCAATTGACCCTATTCCGGAATAAGAATACATTCCGGATTATTCCAGAATAGCCATTCCTTCTTTTCGTCAATAAAATGATTATTCCGTTTCTGGAATAATGCCCACGACATAACACGCAGACCTCGGTTTTCCGAAGGAAAATATAAATTTCCGCAACATCGTGAACAGCAACATGGCGGCGACATTGACATCTGATGCCCGATATATTTGTACGATTTCAATGTACAAGCGTGTGACGCCGTCACAACTGTCACAACAGAGGGGTAGACTGGACTTGAGCAGATTTGTTACCCATTATGCACTGACGCACAAAGTAATTCTGACTCAAGGAAAATGGCGAAACGTCGTAAGAGTTCAGTTCCTTTTTCTGTTGAAAGTTTAATGGAAGAGGCCTTCGCCGAAGGAAGAAACGAATTAATTGGATCGAAAATTCTAACCGATATCTCCTCGATTAATCTCGATCAAGTAGAGCATGTGGCTGAAGACGTTGTGCTTTGTGCACTAATCGTCAAATTTGGTATATCTCTCGTATTTGCCATTGCTGGTGTTGCTTCATCTCTCCGGGTGTTGCCAGATCTCGTTTGAGAGGAAGTTCTGAAAGTCATTTTTCCAAATGTGGATGTGGGTGACCTCCGTTGCCTCTACAATTGTGTACAAAAGCTGTCTAAGTTCCCGTGTTTCGACGATCTTGATCATCCACCCCACGTATTCTGTCCTCCCTGTGATAGATGTTTACGCTGCCAGTCACAGTTGCAAAGCTACAATAGACCAGTGAAAATTGATTTCTATCACTGTAATGGAGCGTTCAAGGGTGTCAAAGTGTCTCTTAAGTGCAACCGATGTGGTATCTATTACGGATACTCAAAATACGGCAACCCTACTTCAGGATGGCATTTGTATGATTCACCGCAAATCTCAATTGAAGCCTCTGATGTTTGCTTTGTGCAGCGTACACTTATGGAATGGCAAGTTTCTTTGGCGTAAGTATGTTATTTCTGTTTAACGGTAACTGATTATTTTTCAATTTATGCATTTCAATCCCTGTTAGTGATATTATTGTTCGATTCCTTTTCTTGTTTCAAGATCTGATTCCTGGGTGTCATTTAGTGGTTTTTCTGAGGCTTTCAACGAAGTTCATGACGTAACAACCGGTAAGTGTGTTGCAATATTTAAAGTGATGATGTTAATCATGCAGCAAGCATATAGTATTATTATAGTATTATAGACCAGAGAATCTCAAAGATGGAAGGGCAATTGCCAATTTCATGGTCAGCACAGTATGATGGTGGAGTAGGTTATATTTACTCCTATCTGCATTATTTTTAGGTTATGGGGAAAAAGAGGTTGCTGCAGCATTCTTTAATGGAGAAATGGAGAATGAGTTAAGAGATTTAGGAAGGCTGGACATGTTTGGGTTGATGAAAGAAGACAGTGATCGTGAAAAAGTAATGTCTGAGATCGATAAAATAAGAGCCAAGTCGGTGTATGATCACCCTTCTGCTGACTGTTCAGATGCATGCAAGGAACGGGGTGAGAATAATATTTGTTTATATCAGACAATAAGTTTATATTTGGTTTCATTATATACAGTCAAAAAATTTGGTATTACATATGTTTATAATGTCCACCAGAGATAATTATAAAATATATGTTTGTTTTTTACAGGCTTGCCACCCCCTATCTAAATTTTCCATTAACTCTTATAAAACAAAGTGTGTTAATTTTAAAGGTTGTGGAAGGCTCTGGGTTGTTGATGGACAATGGAAATTAATGTTTGCTCATTGTATGATGAAGAGAAAGGTAATTTTTCAATTTCCTAACATTACGTTTTTATGTTAGTTACCTAGCAGTTTTAATTTTAATCCTTATTAGTGTTGCATGCGTAAGCAGCAAGACTCGTTATCTCCAAGACGTTTCGTATTTAGTACTCAAAACGACTGTTGTGGTCGCAGCGTTCCTGGAAGAGACCTTGGAAACTGGGAAGAAGAGTTGTTGTGTAACTCCCAAAGCCACGCATGTTTTGTGGAGAAAGCTTAGGTTTAGAGCTTTTCTGGAATGGGTCTGACCACGAATTTTATTGCTTGAAAGTATTGATTACTTAGGGACAAGTGAACACTTCAGTCATCACAAAAATAATAAGAATCTTAATTAGTAAAAGACCAACTGGTCAGGTGTTGTGAACTTTTATTGTATGGAAATGAGTGTTGTGATGAGCATGCGGTATATTTTTGGCAATGACTGAAGAGATGTGCTATGTAAATCCCTCTTTTGATGTCTGGCAATGATGTAATTTCTCTGAAATCGAGGCCCATGAATTGTCGTATATTTATACACGCGTATAGCCTGTGACTGTAGACGTATCTCCGGTTGTTGTTAACTTGCGTACTAAATCAATTCAGAAACTTGTTGCATTTATTTCAAACAGAATTTTATTAGAGGCCTTCCATTGTTAAATTACCCGGATGTATGTACCGAGGCCCCAGAAACTGGAAAAGCTTTCTGGGAAGAACCTGTGGCTTACTTAACTAGAAAGCACCCTAATGTTCCCACTGATCTACACGGATTCTTGAAGTATTGCGGTGTCCACCATAGTGATTCGTCATCAGGTAACAAAAATTGCTTATTGGAATTTCATGTGAAAATTGTTCCTTAGTAAAGCACAGTTTGTTTGCTTGCCTTATTACAGGGAAAGTAAATTTGAGTTTCAAAGAGACTAGTACCTCCCAATACAACAGATCAAAGCTATATAATAATTTTAGTGTTTGAAAATAGCTTTTTCAGATTCATAGGATACTGATTATGAAATATTTAATTGGACAACCATTTGTAATTTTTGCGCATCAAACCTGGAAGAAAATATGGAGAATACAGTTTGAAAAGCAAATATAGTGCAGAAAACGAAAATGACCCATGAGAATTAGGTTGGTAAAATAGCCTTTCAAAAGAAAAAATGTTATTTTCGTGTATTTGTGATCAATAAAAGAGGAAAGCCCTTCAATTAAATAACCAGACTGCAAGCAGATGATGGCCTGGGTTTTGAGTAATTACTTGTTTACATTTTTTACATATTTTTGTTTGCCCTTGATTTCATTGATGTCTCAAAAATTTTTCCGGTTTTGTGTGCATGCAGGCTTTTATTTATGCGTTATTTGTGTTCTGTGTTTGATATGCAGATAGTAGTGATCTCCCTCTTGAAGAGCTCCTTAATAAAGATGTATCCAGCGTAGACAGTGTGTTATCTTCATTAGCTAATGATGAAGTTTCTTTACTTGGAAATAGTGCTGTCAACTCTCAAGGTAAATTCGATTTGCATGGTTCTTGAAAAAAACTATTTCCTTTGCATAGTGTGCGGTGAATCAGTAAATGAAACATCTATTCTAAGACATTAAGGCGGAATCCATCAGGAAAGTGAGTAATTTTAATTTTCAGTGGACGAAAACCTTGTACTAGAATAATTTAAACAGAAATGTAAAAAAGAATGCGATATTGTTGACATTATTCTGCTACAAGGTTACTGTATTTCCCAATGGATTCCGTCTTAAATTTTTTGTCTTCCAGTCCAATGGTTGCAAACGTTTATCAGTCTATAGAACCATGTGGTATTTGAGTTGTTTGCATTATTTTGTGTGACTTGACACATTGCCTTAACATTAACTGTTTTCCTCAACAGTACAGTGTTCGCTTCAAACTCAAGATACCAATAGCCATTTTTGTAACTCCCAGAAAACAAAAGAATGAGGCAATATCATAACTTCATGGCTGAAAAGTTTGAAGTTGCACTTAATTTCAGGCTTTGATTTTCGGAAAATAGGCAACCAGCTGTTCTTTTTTTGTTTTTAATATTAAACTATTGTACTCCTTTTGTTTATCCAGGGAATGCAGAATTCATTGAAAAGGAGCACAATGCAGTAAATTCTATTCTTGATGAATGCATTGAACCTCAACCTACAGCTTGCAATAAAGAGACAGGTGGAAAACAGAGGCTTCAGAAGTGGTCAAGAGGGCATTTGTTTATAGTGAGGGGAGGAGGGATTATCGACAAGTGGAGTCCTCTTTTTAAGTGAGTTAAATACATCTTTTAATATTGAAATGTTCTAATAGTACATATATTGTATATTGCAATTAGATAAGGAATTGTATTTTACAATTTGCATAGAAACAAATTTGTCTTTAACAGTTTAACACGTATGTGTTCCTGGGCTTTTTCTTGGGTTAAAAACGTCTAAAAAATTGTACGCTTTGGTAGTAACTAACAGGAAAACTTGTTTAGGGTTGTTTTAATTTTTTAATTTTGAATTCTTTAGGTCTGAGAGCCCATCACAAGTATTCATAATCGTTCTTTCCTGGCTTCTTGTAATTTTGAAGGCATTAAACCCATTGAACTGGTCAAAGATCTTTGTTGCCTATGATAACATGTGCCACCTGGATGGAATGCGAGCAGCACAGCATCCATTGCCATGGCCTTCTCCGTGGGATAAATCATGGATTTCAGTGAATAAAATTATTGACAGTCTGCATATGTCCAATCATAAAGACAAGAAATGTAAAGAAACGTACAACCCAAGCAGCTTAAAAGAAGAAATAACCAATGGCAACACAATGGCTGCTGAGCAAACATTTGTGTGGCTCTCGCGTTTTAAAAAGATCCTGTGTGCAATGCCAAAGGTGCATCACTTATTCTATCTTCACCGTATGGTCAGGCATCGAAATCGGTACACTGTCAAATGCTACAGGGTCGGCAGGAAGCCATTGCTTCCAAAAGCTCGTGGAAAAGCAAGCTAACAGTGCAGTTATTTAAAACTTTGTAGTTAAGAACATCTGTCAAGAATCTGTGTTACAATAACGTTTTTTTCAACATCAAGAAAGATTATTATGATAATGTTCCAACAACTGGTTTTCAGTCATCTTAAATGTTATTCTCTTTGCATGAGGGACAGTGCCTAAAAATAGGGAATTAAAAAATCACTCAGTTCAGTGTCCAAGTCTATCTGCTGGGTATGTAACACATGTTCCTCACACACTTAGGAGCTGTGCAACAGGAAAAACATGACCGACCATCGCTGAAATGCTATTACCTATTAAGCAACTTATTCCTCTCATTGCAAGTTACCTGCAACATATTAAAGGCAAATTCTATGTGCTAACACTAACAAGACCTTTCTCTAGCCTATAAGATCCAAGACAATTTCATTGCAAAGGCCACCTGCTATTGTTCTTTCTGTTACCTTTACAAGGACTGATGTATAGCCAAGAAATTTACCTTTTTGTCTTTCCTTCGTTTCGCGTTTTCACACAGAACCATTTTTTCTTCCTCCGATTTACTTCTTTCCTGCAAATCACAGAACAATCATTATTGTTCAAATATGAGAAAATTGGCAAGACTTGATGTTACTTCTACATTGTTTTTACTTTGATTCAACAGGACAATTGCAAGATGACGCCATATTACTACAACTACCAGAATGCTTCGGTTTGTTGTTTTCTTGTGCAGATTAAGGCTACTGTTCTTTAATCCTCAGTGGGATTGACAAATGTAAATACGAAAGCAAAAATGAAATGAATTGTGGTAGTTGTAGTCAAATTCTGTTGTCGTGAAAATGGCATGTTGTTATACGGTTTATTTAAGATGGGTTCAGATTAGTGGGTATTAAATTTATTTGGTCTTCTTTTTCACCTACCTGCTTGCAAAAGCAGTAGCTGTATTTCTCATGTGCTGCAAGAGACAAAACATTCTTGTGTGATTGATTGATTTATATTGTGACCATTCTTAGAAATACGCGGCATTGGTACCTGTTTTCTTTCTCCTTTTAGGTTTTTCAGTGTTTGAAAGCGACTCCCTTGCCCTCTTCTTTGTGCTTCCACAAACTGTTTCCATTAGGACACAGTCATCTATGGTTTGTAGTTCCACTAGCAAAAATGGAAATTCATTTGTCACCGAACTTGAAGTAAGCTCACTTAGTGGCTTGCAAGGTATTAACAAAAAAAAACCTATAAAAATGTTGAACATACATATCTTACAAAATGTACACATATCAATAATAATATTCATCTTGTAGTGGAAATTATTAAAATTTTCTATTTTTTTCCGTGCTTAACCCTTATCTATTTTTATAGGCTAAAAGAAATAGTGAAAATTATTCTTTACAACTGACAGTTATTATTATCGTCATCATCATCACAAAAGTACTTCATAGTGTCCTGAAACTGTTTGGTAATCTTTTTTTCTTCCATTTGTGTGTGAGAAGGGGGTGATAAATTTTATTCAATACCTTCTAGACCAATTCCACTGTCATTTATGCTTTGTGAATTTTCCACTTGTGCAGTAGGCTCATCTCCCAGTACTGGAGGTGCAACTGGAGAACTCACTGTTGCAGATGACCTGGTATTTGCGGGCGTAGACGACATGCTGATTAGCATAGCAGGTTCTGCTATTGGTGCAGTAGGCTCATCTCCCAGTACTGGAGGTGCAACTGGAGAACTCACTGTTGTAGATGACCTAGTATTTGCGGGCGTGGACGACATGCTGATTAGCATAGCAGGTTCTGCCATTGGTGCAGTAGGCTTATCTCCCAGTACTGGAGGTGCACCTGGAGAACTCACTGTTGCAGATGACCTAGTATTTGCGGGCATAGACGACATGCTGATTAGCATAGCAGGTTCTGTTTCTGGTGCAGTAGGCTCATCTCCCCGTACTGGAGGTGCAACTGGGGAACTTACTGTTGCAGATGACATTGTGGTTTGCATAGCAGGTTGTGCTACTGGTGTAGTAGGCTCATCTCCCAGTACTGGAGGTGGATCTGAAGAACTCACCGTCGCAGATGACATGGTAGGTACGGATGGTTGTGTTGTGTTTTCAGTATGAACTGATTCTTTGGACGTTTTCACTTGCAACAGTGGGTCTAAACCAAATGCTTGGCACATGCAAAACGAAGAGAAACATTTAAAGTCAAGTACATGTAAGATATGTGTATAAGGAGGATTTTACAGTTGGACTTTTCTTAACTAAACCTAATGTTCAGCACTTACATTGTACTGTAAAGGTAGCAACAATAGTATTTGGTACTGGTACCTTCAGCTGTCTGGGCCAAAAAAAAAATGCAGATAGGCAATGAAATGCTTATATGACATTTTCCCTAAATAAATGTAGGCCTTCAGAAAAGACCTTGTTTTTTTTCCAATAATATACCTTCACAGAAGACTTCCCAGCTGTTAGCTCCAAATGCTGAGTGTTTAACTGTTACACAAGACTTCGACTGGATTTCTACACCACCTGCAGCTCTTGAGATTTTTTTGCCATTTGCATATTTGTTAAAGTATTGCTTCTTGTCCCCTACCAGACCAATATCCAGGGTGCGAATTTCCTGCCTTGTCTTGTCCTCGGGTGGTGGGGTCCCTCCAAAGTTTCTGATGGTTGCAAACAGCCACTTAAGAGCAACTGCCGCTCCACGGTGTCTAACAGAGTTGAGCTTAAACATGACCTCTGGATTGACACACGTAAGCATCTGAAGAGGGGATACAGACAGAACAAATAATATTAGTATTAATAACAAAGTCTACAACTAATAAACAAGGATGATGCTAATAATGAATACTGTTTAGCAGAAAGATCCTTCCGGCCCAGGGAATAGGGGATTGTTAAGAATGATGATTATAATATGATGGTGATGATAGTTGTTGTGGTAATCAATTCCACTAATAGAATCATCATTCAGGCATGTTGGCTGTTACGAGCATGCTATTTGCATGACTGTAGTGCTAATTGCTATGTGTGTGTCAATCATATTTAATTATTTTGATTCGATGTTAGTTTTCAAAACTTGCCTGTTCTCTTGGAATCTTGTAGATATTGATGCATTTTACGAGCAAATCCACAATCAGTGGTTCACCTGACTCGGAGGCATGTGTAGAGGCCACACTATATTCAACCTGGTAGTCTTTAATGGCATAGGGGTACATAACTTCTTTAAAAAAGGACAGCGCCAAACTTGGTTCCATTTCTTCTACTTCTGCCAGTTCCAAAACCTGAATGGGATGTTTAAGGTTAAATATTGTTTTCATCAGCTACTCTCAGTAAACAGACTCCAAAGAAGAGACATTGATTTCAATGTTATAATAGAAGACCATATGAAGCTCTTAAATAATAATAATAATAACAATTATTGCTAATTATTTCTCTTTACCTTTTCGGCAAAGCTGATCAACAGGGCATAGTTTTTACTGCATCTGTCATCTAGGTCAGGCATTTCTTGGCTGATCTGCTTGATGATATCTTTGCATCTCGTTTTGCAAAGATGATCGACAGCTCTACTGAACCCTACCATTAAGCCAATGGCACTCGAGGCATTTGCAAATCGAATTTCTGCCTCAGCTTCAGCAACTTGTTGCGCCTCTATCCCATTTGGGCTTCTTCTTCCTTCAATAAATGGTATCAGAACTAGGCGTCCAAAAACCCTAAATTGATGAGTAAAAAAGTGATCACTATACTGACCCATAACTCAAATAATACTAACTTAATGTGTCATTCAAAAAACCAAAAGGAAAGTTAAGCCCCTTTTAAAACTTGTTGAGGTATACTTAAATGTAACTGCAAGTCGTTTTGAACACGTTTGACTAATGTAGGATGATCAAAAATACACCTTTAGACCTCAGTAACCTGGTCTGGAACAAACTAACCTAGGTTGAAAACAGATTGACCTAAGAAACAAATTAACCGTCAACATATATATTACCCAAGTACCAATAATTTTGCTGCATGTATTAAATCTTCCACCAAACGAGAATTAATGGTGGGTCGACAATAGTTACGCCTGGCTAACAACAAAACATGGTGGCATTAACCATATGTTCCACTCACCTGGGATCTCTATTTAGTCCGTCTAATGTTTCCCAGTTGACAGTAAGTATGGGACATGTTCGTGGTGCTGTTTCCAGCAAACAAGTCCCATCCTTGCCACAGTTGTAAAAAGAGACAGCAACTTCTTCAATTACTTTAGGACTCTTTATGTCATCCAAGACAGGTGGCAATGTTGACCGGCTACAGAGTCTTGGAATAAATCTGTCTTTTACTGCTGAAAAGAAGTTTGCCTGGTTTCCAATAAGACTTAGGGCCCCCTTTGCTGATTTTGTCTTTCCTAATCTATTTACTGCACACACTACAGGTAGAGGGCAGAATCCCAAGACATCTACCACCATCTCATAATGGAGGGCAAGTAGCATTCCTGCTGTTAAGAACATACAATTCACCTCATTAAAAATATGTTAATGGTTTTCTGACCATTAAGTATTGCTATTTATGCAATTTGTGCTTCCGCTTGGAATTAAAAAAAATGCAAATTCTACTAAGAATTACAAAGACATAATAAAATTATTACTAACACTAATCGTAGATTATGGTGCGTTATGAAATTATATAAAATATAAACTTTATTATAAACTGTTCATCTCATGCAATATTATT